TGGGTTGATGACTAAACAAAGCTTCACTAGGAGACGCGTCGACGAGGGTGGTGTTATGGACGCATTCGACGCTGACAGCTTCTGCGGTAGGTGCTTTAGCAGGGCATTTTTATAACTCGAAAGCATCTCTAGACGCGCATTAATCGTTTCGGGCCCTTGCGTAACAAGGTGCTCCACACTCTCAGGTCCCAGTGGGGACATCAGCTTATAAAGCCCGTCCTGCATGCCCTGAAGCAAATAGGGGTATTCCACCATGCTCACTGAGGATCTGTCGTACCGATTAGGCGTAGATTGACTACTAGCGCTATCAAGTGCAGGGGGCTGCCGTAGCTCTTTGCTTAAAGGAAGCTAAGCTTTGGTCACAGACCTTACGATTTTTCCAAGAACCAGTACGAACGTAGCGGATTGCAATCCGCTACCTTTAAGTACTAAAAACGTTATGCAAGGCAAGCGAACATTTCTATTCAAATTAAAACTGTATTTAATTGTTTTAGTTGCGGCAGAGCCGCCAATATTTAAAATCTTAAGTATTATAGTAATATCTAATTTATATACAAAACCTGATTTATATAGTAATATGCATTACTACTGGCAATCCTGCCACGTAATGGCTATTTGTTACGGTGTTGCCACACCACTGCGTTATGACACTGACTTTTGTAATTCACACCTATGTACGGTCGCACCATCTTATGCGACCCGCCCATTCATACAAGGGTGCGAATAACCCAGTTACATCGTCTGTATTTAGCGTTTTCTCGCGTAAAGTGATGCTTGATGTCGACATGCTTAACTCTGGCATGATGTCCCGCATTTTGGGACAATGCTTTTGCCCCCTGGTTGTTCTACATAACTTGCCTTGCATGAATCTGCCTATGTCCTTCAACATCGCGCGCATCCACAAAACTTCCTGGGTGCACAGACTTAGTGCCATGTACTCAGCTTCTGCTGAACTCGTGCCACAGTTCTATTATATTTCGACTCAAACATCAATAGTAAATTACTTATTTTAGCCACCACGCCAGATACTGATCGCATGTCGTCGATGTTGTTTCCCGAGTCTGCGTCCGCGATTGCTTCAGCCATAATGTTGCTTGTTACTTCTTCGTATACAATTTCATGCAGGCGCATTGACTTCAAGTATTTGAGCACTAGAATCGCGGCTTACCAACACTGTATTCCAGGATTCTTGAGATATCTCGATAGTTGCGTGACTACGTAAGTGATATCCGGTCTAGTACATGTTGTTATGTACATGATACAGCCGATGAGAGAGCGATATGGCTTTGTCAGCATATCAGCAGGTTCTGCATCTGTTCCTGGCTATTGTTTTTTGGAAATCTTGATATTAGAGGCGCATGGGTTTTTGTCGTCTTGGCGTTTTGCTGACCGAATCGTTGCGTAACATCGTTAATGCAACGCGTTTACTTGATCATTAGTGGTCCGGCTCTCCTGTCGTGATTAATCTCCATCCCCAAGATAAATTTTGCGTCACCAAGCTCTTTCATTTCGTAAGCATTCTTGAGGGCATCTTTGGATCTTGGCGGCTATTATCATATCGACCCCGTAGCGGCAAACGCAAATGGCCTGCTCTTAGAAGGCTTAACATACACGCACTACAACTCTTGAAACCTAATGAAACGAAGACGCCCGGAATCACTCTATTCTAGGAGCTAGCTGCTCGTCTTAACCCATAGGTGGCCGTGTTCAGCGAACAAGCATGATCACCAGCAGTCTTAATTCCAGGCAGTATCTCCTTATAGACTCCGTCGATTAACTCATCACTTGAAAACACAGTGTCTACATCCAGCTGTTTCATTTCATATCCGTCTGCGACGCAAACAGCCAAGACAACCCAAATCGCATGTGATATGAATATAGTCTTCATTGCTTCTCGCCATGCCACTGCTTCGTCACTTGCAACTGCTGCAGCGTATGTCAGAAGCCCCGTCGATTCTTGCCGCATACCTTTAGGAAGCAGTCCATCTTCGTCGATATTTAAGCGCTTAGGAGACGGTGATCTTTCGCGTTCTTTCGATCTTCTTTCATCATCCAGTTCCAAGCAGCCTTCCAGTAATAAAGTTGGCTTCCTAGAACGCTTTGACTCTCTAAGCCCGGACGAAACATGTAACGGGGTTACACGTACCCGTGTATGATAGGGCGGATCACACAAGATGGCGTTACAGTATATAGATGTGATTTAACAAGTTGGTGAAATCACGCAATGGTGCGGCAACTCTGCAACAAGAAGCCACTACGTGGCAGGACTGCCAGTAGTAATGCAGATTTAATTTGGTACTACCACATTAAAATGAAAAACCAAAGGTTCTATATGTTGACGGCTCTGCCGCAACTAAAACAATTATATGCAGTTTTAATTTTGAACGGAAGAGTGTCTTCACCTTGGTTAAAGTTTGATTACTCTTGGACGTAGCGGATTGCAATCCTTGTCGTGAGGAACAACAATTTGTGGCGTATCGTAAAAAATCATAAGGTCGTTGACCTAAGCTTAGCTTTCTCTAAGGAAAGAGCTACGGTAGCTCCGCTGCACTTGGTTGCACTCGCAGTCAGTCGACGCCTGAGTCGTTATGGCTGATCCTCTGTGAGGATGGAATAGCTCTCCTATTTGCCCAGGGCACGCAGGACGGGCTTGACAAGCTGATGTCCCTGCTTGGCCCTGGGGGTGTGGAACATCTTGTTTCGCAAGATCCTGAAGCGACAAACGCGCGCCTGGTGGCGTTTTTAAATTACAGAAATTCTCCGCTAGAGCATATACAGCAGAAGCTGTCAGCGTCGACAGCGTCCAAGACGCCACCATCGACGACAGATGGTGAGCTTTAAGACCTTTGAAGGCAAGGAAAGGGGAAGATTTTTTGCTCCGGGTAAGAAAGGTCGAGATAGCTATGGCATCCGCCATGCTCCAATACAAGCAGCAGCGCGTGGCGCTAGCTATCACCAAGCTCGGGAGCCAAGCGCGAAAATGGGCACAACATGCGGTGCTTCGGTTGAAGCTGCGTTTCCCTCCTGGAAGGAGCTAAAGCGTCAGATTTTGCGGCTGTTCTCGCCGCCTGACCAGGCATATCGCGTGGGATCGCGTTTCCTTGCCGCGCGTCATGGCAAGAAGGAAATTGTGGACTTTGTCCAAGGGTTGAGAGCTCTCATTGCCGGGGTGGCAGCCGACCCTCTCCCCGAGGCGGACACAGTGACCGTCTCTATGGAGAGCCACGCACTAGCGTGACCAGAATGGAATTCTTCCGTTCGCACCCGTCTTCTTGTGCAATAACGGTAAATGCGACATTGAATGCCGAATTTAACTTCAAGTCGGTCCGACTTAGTTGCAATGCACACCCTCAGAGCTCGCCAAACGAGCCTAATCCAATGCATCATAGCTATGCTAAGAAAGAGGAGGGAGAGCCCTGAGCTGCCGAGCAGCGTGTCAACACCCGATGGTGGAGACAACCGTCAACTTCGAACTGGTTGTACCCTGCGTAAGGCGTGTAAAGATTCATCGAGCCGACGTCCTGCTTCTAACCAGTCTGGTGTGTCGTCGAGAAAAGAGAGCACGCAGTAAGCGCGGGGCGCCCTACTGGGGAAGAATTGAGTATTATTGTGCCTCAAAGAGGTTAAAAAAGAGAGCACACAGTAAGCGCGGGGCGCCCTACTG